TCTCAGGGCATTTTAACATTTCTAGCAAAATCTGAGAGACTTTTCTCCTGTGGCCAGATGATTCGGGTAGATCTTTGCTCTACCTTTTGCTGTGATCTTAGACAAAGAACTCCCTCCTCTGACCCCCAGTGGTAGCATCTGTAAGATAAAATAGCAGAATCATCCTCAGGGTTGTCAAGAATACAGAAGTTAGTGCAGGAAAAATGCTTAGACTCTTCTCAGACTTGAACATGCTTCAGACTTGTGAAAGCTCATTAAATCCCACATTTCTGGCCCCCAACCCCCAACATTCCTCGCTCGTTTGATCTAACGCGGGCCCTGAGAATGTGCCCGACACATTCCCACATGGTCCAGCTAAAGCTGCTGGTCCAGGGACCCCACTTTGAGAACCACTGGCTCAGACCAATGCCTAGTGTAAGTACTGGAAAATGTTAGCAGTTATTACTCCTCCTGTTATTGTCCTCTTTATGACTGTTAAGGAGACTCAGAGGAAGCTTCTCTGTTGCTTTCCATATTGAACACAAATGCCCAGCACAATCTTTACTTCTCATGGCCACTGACATGCTGAATGCCTCCACTTATTTCAACAGCACACTTCCATGATTTACCCAAGCTTTCTCTGGTTCCTACATATCCTACATAGTGCGCTGAACCTGCCTCTTGCCATTCCTTGCCAGACCTACAAAAAAATTGCCCAATTTCATACATAATATGTTGCTGAAAGTATGCACTCATGTGGGACAACACACTTACACGATATAGGAAGAATTCTGTTTCCATAGAGCTAAAAAGGATTATAAAACCCCTAATTACACCTGAACTTTGGAGCTCATCTTCAGGTGATATATTTTCAGCGTTCTGTACCTGTATGTTCCTTTCTTTCAGAATTGAATGTGCAATAACCTAAGTCCAGTAAGGTTCCAGGTTTGCTACTTCAGCACGCCTATTGATTTTCATCTTTACCTCAAATATATTAAGGTCTGTGGTTATCAATTTCAAGACTCATTTTTCTATGTAGCTTCATAAAGTGTGAGAAAAGTATAATAAAAATATTCAAATAATTGCACAAAATTCCAGTCATGGTGGAAGAGACTGAGCATGCAAAGCTGTTGAAAGATAATGGCCAGCAGGCGGGAAGCCCTTCAGGGAAGAGCCTGAGCCCCCTAAGAACATATCCCACAGCCTCCAGCTGACCCACCCCACTCCTTCCTGAGTGCTCACTGGATCTTCTAGACCCACCCCCCTTGTTTTATAATCTCCGCTCTGCCTTTTATCAAGTACTGGCCAAATCCACCATGCCAATCTAATGACCTTCTCACCTAAAACATAATCCTCACCCTGTCCCTGTCCCTTACCTTCTCACCAAAGCCCAGCTCTGTGAGTGCAAAGCCCCTCTGTAGGTTGGTCTCAATTTTGCCTTCAAAGAAAAGTACATATGGTGCTCTCCCTACTCCCTGCTGACCACCAAATTCTCTCTCTCTCTCTTTTTTTTTTCTCCATTTGGGAATCCTGCTCATTATAGAAGCTTCCTGGACTGATCAAAGAGCCAAAACTTTTCTCTATTCAACTTGGATTTAGAACTCACAAAAGTTATTTTCACCGCTCTTTCTTCTCTCTCCATCCCACTTGCTCTGTGTTCTTAACAAGTCCTATCTTTGTCCCTACAATGTATAATTATTTATTCTGGGCCTGTTTGCAAGTCTGCCATCCGTTCAGGTCCCCAGTTAATGCTACACTTGTGTTACCTGTGTAGATGCATCTATATCCCTGAACTGTCTTCAGTGTTAGCTCCACAATGACCAGGACACTTCACATGGGTCCCTTCCTTCAGCTGCCTGCCATGGGCCATTAGCCTTACCTCTCTCTGGTGATGATGCAGGGAAATGTGGCCTCCTGGTACCCTTGCAGATAGAAGCAGCAAATGGGGAAAAATACATACACAGAGACACATATGCACATATGTGTGTATGAAAACACACATACACACATGTATATGTCAAACACTACCAGGCATGCATGACCCTTCCTAGTACTAACCCACTCAGAGCCATTGACTCCAGCCAAGTTTCTGTATCAGGCAAAACTCCAGTTCCAACAAAAGGAATGAAATGTTCTGAGTCTGGGGAAAGGCTTTTAACTAACCTTACAGCCTATAAATGCAGAATGTCAGGAAGGGCTATGCACAAACCCCACCTTCTCCAATACCCTGCATGACCAAGATGTCCAACTATGCAATACAAGTGCAGAACACTTTATATCATCAATTTCAAAAAGTTATAAGGAACCAATTGTCCTTCAGAACTGTCACTAGGATATAGAGTTCCTCTTGGAAATCCCAATTTTCCTTCTGGACACAATTCAAAACAGACAGAGGACAAAGAAAAAAATAAAACCAATGCTGGAAATGTCAGAGATTTTTCCAGCCAGCGCCTCATGGAAATCTATTCAGGCTTCTGCAGATCAAACAGCCTGTCTTCTCTGGGTGCAGGCCCACGATAAGCACTGTGCTCCTACCTGCTTTCCCCTGCCCTCGCCTCGGGTCATTTTCATTGTCCTCCACGGGGGGAAATTCTTTCTGCAAGTGTTTCTTTAAAGCTGTAAAATGAACATGTTCACTTGCAAAAGCAGAACCACGGAGCTGGCTGCCTGGGTGAGCTCAGAGTTGGGGGTGGGGTCCGGGAGCCCACAGATCACAGCTGAATGCTGGTGCCTGGCGGTGGCCGTCTGAGTCTCACGCTCGGGAGCCCAGCACCCCAAGAAGGCCGCTCTTCACCCTTCTCAGCACCTGCACCCCGGCTTTCCGTGACTGCCCTTCCAACTCCTGGGCTCTGCCCATCTGTCCCCAGACTTTTCTCCCTCTCCCTCGCAGAGGGAGCGAACTTTCTGAAACCCCTTCTGCTTTTCCTTCCTGAAACTATGATTGGGAGCTGGATGGGAAGCTAAGCTTGCCTCTGTGGGCCTGGATTTCCCACCTGGTGTGGAGGTTTATTCTGCAGAGCCAGGGGCTTTGGAACTAACTTCTTTCGAAGAAGTGCCTGGAGCCAGGCTTTCTACAGCTGAAACCACCTTCTCAACTGGGGTCACAGCCACGGACACATGTCCTCTTACTCTTTGCATGCTGTTTTTCTTAAATCAAACCACTTTGTAAAACACATACGTTAGACACTGAAGGTGAAATATCACATGGTTTCTCCAATTTGAAAGACCCAGATATAAATAATTAAGGAGCAAAATAAAAGGGTCACGTTAAGAAACAGGGAAATCGATTTTAAAGATGGAAAAAGAGATCAGGGAAAGTAGAGGGGAAGGGGGCGTAAAAATGATCAAGATGCAATACGCATATTATCATTATCCCAAGGTGAACGTCTGTATCATAAACATACACCAACACATTATTTTCCAAAATAAAATTGAAAAAAAAATCGAAATAAAAATAAAATATACCATTATATTTAAACATCAGTTGCCATGAGTAGAATGTCACTCAATGATCAACTCAGTATCAGCAAAATAATGTTACCAAATCCTAACTAGAGTGTCCCTAGCTGAAGACTCCAAAGCCTGCTCCCTCTTCCCTAAACAAGGGAGACCGCCAAGTCCCGGAGAAGCGTGAAAGACAACGGCACAACCCAACACTCTCTCTGGCATGGACATAAGGGCTAAAGGAAAAGTAAAAAGGGGCCACAGTTTCTGACCACAGGCTTTCATGTTATTCAATGCCATTGTATGTGTCACTTAAAACCATTTCAGGTATCTTCGGTGGCCAGTCCCTGCTACTGTCCTAAGAATCTACTATGCACTTACAGACAGTGGGGAACCAAAGATTTAAAAACAAAAGGTTCTGCCCCTGCATGAGTCTTAAAAAATTACATTTTTGTAGACAATGTCTAGGAGAGCCTTCTTTCCAGTCTAGCACCTCAAATAAGGAAAACCTCAGATTCAACATTCTGAAAGACAGTCCCCACCTCCACCCCTAGAGAGAGACTCGACATTTCAGCCAGCAGCTTCTCTGATTATGCTCCCGATAAGAAATGACAAGTGGTTATTAGATTATAAGTATCTGGCATGCTTTGTAAGCAGTATTAACCACCTCCGAAAACCTCAGGGCTCCCAAATCAACAAGTCCCCACCCAAATGCCCTCCAACACCAAAAAAACAACTGACATTTAAAACCTGATTGAAACCACACGGAACCCTGTCTCTTTCAAAGGTCAAGGAGGAAGGCAGCAGGGCCCAGCAGGCTTCTCCAGGACTGATTGAAAATCCACTTCTCTGGGGCTGGCTTTGAAATCAATCAATAGAGACAGCAAGGGAGGAGAAGGAGGCAGAGACTGGCCTTTGAGTCAAGGGCAACTGAAATGACTCACATTTGTGACTAATTATGTCTTTCTTCATCTTTATGCTTCTCTCTCCCTGAACAGAAGCTGTTTTCCATCCAGTGAAGACAGATGACCTGAGCAAATTCTAAGCTTCTGTTGGCTCTTAGTTTGTTCAGATTTGGAGGAGCCATTTTCTGTTAGGTGTGTGTGTGTGTGTGTGTGTGTGTGTGTGTGCATGCGTGCAAAATCGTATCACCAATCTGAAACCAAGAACTTATGCATTTCTATATTACTCTGCCATTAAAAGGGATGGATTACACTGTGGACTACAATGTGGGTACCCACATAAATTTAATAATACTATTACTCTGTCTTACTCTGCTAGTCACTAAGCACTTTATAAACAACTTTGTCCTCACAAGAACCCTCTAAGGCTAGGCCCTATTACCCCTGTTTTACACAGGGAAATAAAGCTACATGTTCAGGGTAACACAACTCATACATGGCTGTGCTGGGCACTGAACCCAATCAGTGCACCTCGGAGGTCCGTGGTCTTGACCACTACCTGTCCTGTCGCTACACTGTAGGGGTGTTATTTCACGTATGCCATATAGTGTACCTGTACAATAAGCTGTGTTTCCAGTCTTTGTAAGGTAAGCTGTTTTTATTCCCATTTTATAGATGAAGAGATTGAGGCACAGGGAATGGAGGCAGGATGCCCAAGACCATTCAATGAGCGAGAAGTGGGAACTCTAACTTCACGGAAATGTCACCCAGTTAGTTATTCATGGTCATGCAATACTTCCCCACATGCCTCTTGTCAGACAGGTAAGCAGCTTTTGCCTGTGGATTAGTGTCCTCTATATGGACTCATTAGCCCCATAACAACAGCGTGTAGGCAAGAGGGATGTTACATCGTCTGATCCAATTCTATCTCTGACAGAACACACCAGGAGTCTTCATGACAAGAAGTAACCTGGTAACAGGCACATAGCTTACACCAATTAAATACCGTTGCAGCAGTGGGAGGGAAAGTTCTCAGAGAGCAGTTCTCAAAGTGTGGTTTCATCGGGGCATCTCCCACCCTACTTGAGGGACTCATATGGTCAAAACCATTTCTCAGTCATACTGAGCTGCTTTGCCTTTCTCTCCCTTCTCCCTGTCCACACAGTAGAGTTTTCCAGAGACTAAGTGATGTGCAAAGACAGAAGAGACTGAACGTGAAGCAGACAGGAGAATCCAGCTGTCTTCTATGCTTGGAGGTTTGCAAACACATAAAATGATGCCAGTCCTCCTAGTCTTTCTTTTTATTCTGAAAAAGTTATTTATGCCTCTATGAAATAGGCTTATTACTTAAATGAATTATGACATATTTAAAGCTTCTTGGGCTTAATTTCTAATACTATCATCGAGGCAGAGGACATAACCCAAATCAGCAGTAATTTTTAAGACTGGAAAGGGGTCCTGAGACTGCAAACCCAAAAACCTCTCGTGGGACCATCACCTCTGCTCATGGCAGGGCCGTACTCTCTTGGCCCCCAACACGGCACTGTCCTGCACTGCTTAGCACTAGGTACAGCCCCAGCAGGTGTCACTGTGAGGGCTGAAGGACTGTACTGTGTGCAGTCTCACCTCCCCTTTGGGTACAAAGACCCACGTGCATGGAAATGACAGATGCTCAGCCCCAGCCTGCTTACCTGGAAATAGTCCGTGATGAACGATCCAAGTTCACTCTTCAGCAGCCGCCTGGGGAGAAAGAAACACCATCAACAGCCCTTGGTGGTTCGGCTCCAGGTGACCAGTGCCTGATACAGGACAGGACAATGGCAATGTGCTTAGCAGCAGCCCAGGGGCTAAGACCAGGCCTAAAGAGGGAGCTTGCTTTCCTAGGCTCTGGTAGTACCCTCCACCCGCAGTGTTGTCACAGCTGAGGAAATCCTAGAAGGAGATGTGCTGCTTAAGTCACCATGCAAATGTGGTCAGCTGACTAGGACAGCCAGAGGAAATTCTAATCTAACACAGTTAGCTGAGGCACCCCAGTGCACCTGGTTTTGTGTAAGGCAAAATCAAAACAAATATGCACAAAAAAAAGAAAGACTATTATTGTGCAATTTTCCACATTTACAAAGCACTTTATATCTTTAAAGTACATTTTCCATACATTCTCCAATTCTCCAACCAAGGATGTAAACTGTCTATGTGTAAGGGTACAATTAGCACTCCTGTGGAGATAAAGAAATCAAGGATCCTAGAAGTACCCCCAAATAAGTAGCAGCAGAGCCAAGAACCGAACCAATTCCTTTCACAACTTCAATGTCTTTTCCTATGGCCCATCCCGTCTCCACTCCAAGCCCATCAGAGACACCCAGACTTGAAACTCAACTTGGTGTGATGGTGTAGGCGATCGTACCACCTGATCTGGGTAGACTGAGGCGGGGTCAGAGGGGGCCACCGCAGTGAGAACAGAGAGATTCTACTTCTTCAGGCAACAGACATTTGCTGAGAAGTCAGACGGGAGCCCAGCACAGGAGCACAAAGGTGAACAGGACAGACAAGGTCTCTGCTGTCATGGAGTGTGCATAGCACGTTACTAAAAATTCTCACAAAGTCATTTCAAAGCATCTTAGGTGCTAAAGATAATAAATTTAAAAAATAGGAATTATGGCCCTCAAATCTCTTGTCCGTATGACAGACTTGGATCATCCCTACTGCTCCATTTTTAATTTGACCCTGACAAGGTAAGGGAGCTAAAACCAAGAATAACTGGCTCTTGAGAGCGAATGAGCTCCCTGAAGGAGGGCAAACTCTTCGTGACTTCAAATGACATTGTTTACTCATCGCACCAACAACCATTTTCAAGGAGCTAATGCTGAAGCTCTGTACAACCTTTGCTGGGTATTAACTGTCCCCAAAAAACATGCTCATGCATGCTCACTCCTGACGGATAAACAGAAGGTTGCAGCAAGATAGTGTTAATATGCAGAAAACAGGCACAAGGATATGGAGAGAGAAGAAGAGAGAAACACTCATGATCTAAACATGATGTTTCTTCCAAAAACAGCCCTGGAAAGCTGCAACCACATATTGAACAAGGAAAACACCTTCCCTTTCCCACAGCAGAAAATATGACAGGTGGTGGATGCTTCATTTTGAGATTTAACTTCTGCCAACACATCCCAGCGGTTTCCCAGATGTGGGCATCTGATCAGTGATGGGGAAGACTTCATCAAAAGTCAACGGGCTGAGAGCAGTTGCCCAAAGCCAGAAGCACCTCTGGGATACAGCAGAGTAACCTAGGGAGCAGCCCTCCATGGACTGAGGCTTTGACACAGGAAGAAAGACGTCTGCTTCTGACCACAAGAGAAGAAACACCTCCTAACACTGGGACATCTCAAAAGCACAGGTGAAGAAGCCCAGCTCACGAGAAAATAGAAAAACAAGTTCTAAAAACGATTTTTAGGGCCAAGCTTCCAAAGCTCATCGTGGGTACTTGGGATGCTGAGGGACTAATGTAATTCTAGCATCAAATACTACGCTGTGGGATTGGTGCCCCGAGGAACCCAGGCTTGGGAAACACTGTGCTCCTGAAGATGCTACAGGTGAGATGGAGAGAACAAGAGGTCAGGGGGAAGGGAGTCTTTCAAGATCAAAAATGAGGGTCATTCCTTGGAGCAAGAAGAAGCGATTGATGCTGGTGTAATAATGGTGACATGGGGCTGGGCTGGTTAAGCAAGTCACGGCCACCCTGGGACATTCACAGTGGCACTCAGGCAGCACCATGCTGCTGGCCAATGGAGGAATCCCATAGATCTCCTCCTCCTCCACCAGGGAGGGCCCAGGGGGCTGCACCATACAGTGAGGGCAAAGGCCGGGGCTGCAGCAAGCCACAGAGCATGACAGGAAGGCAGAACATTATTAGGTGAAATCAGCTGCAAAGGGGGCAGAAGCTAAGGATAAGCCAACAGTAAATTCCTTGCAACGGTGGAGACAAAGACTTAGCGAAAGGACTCTGGAGCTAGAAGCTGTCGTATCAGGGGTGATGAGTGAGTGATATCTAAGGATAAAAAACGTAAAGAGGTGACATTTAGGAGGAACCAGACACAATGTTGGGAACCTGGTTTATATATTTAAATGTAACAGACTCTAACCAGGATCAGAAGGAGAACCGCATACTTGTCCTTTATCAAATCCTGAGTTCCATGGGCATTGTAACCTCCAATAAGTATCATTATATACAATTATCTCAACAGAAATGACTCACTTGATCATTTAAATCAAGATTCTTTTGTCCAGTAAATTGTATTGCCCTGTCCTTTACAAAACCCTGTCATGTTTCTGTCTGAGCATGTTGTTAAACACAGGATCACTGCAGCAAAAAGAGGAATTAACAAATGTACTGTACTAATTTAAAAACTTTCACCCGCAGAAGTCTATGCAATCATAAAAACAAGGAGTGAAGAAGTACTGTGAGTAATCATATGAAAAGACTTAAGTTATATTAAGGAAAGAATAAAAATAAAAAAGCCAGATGCAGAATAGTGTGCACAACAGGATTCCTTACAAAAAGAACATAGGAACACCTATTTTAACTTATATAATGTCCACAAATTCATTGGTCAACTCTGCTCTCGTATCTTGCTGTTCAAGTCTGGATGAGCTGTACGATTAGGTTTCCAGTAGGTCCTCTGAACTGAACTATATGCCAACTTGACTTTTAAACACAAAAGCATATATGCCCTTTTTAAAAATCACATATAAAAATACTCTCCATTCCCCTAAGTGAGGGAGTGGAGAAGGCTGGAGATACTGCCGGAGGTAGGGTAACACAACCCTTTAGCAAACTGTAATCCACGAAGCTAGAGGAAAACACAGTACTACATTGTCAGACGCCTGTTCTGAATCCACAAGGAAGCTGACCCCAGACACGGTGTCTTGTTGAGTACATGGAGCCTGAAGGCAGCCACCTGGTTCTGAATCCCAATAGCTGCTCTTAGCTGTTGTTAGCATCAACCTGAGCAAAACCGTGAGTCCTTTCTGCTTCCGTTTTCTCAACTACGACATAAAGATCGTGTAACAGGAAGATTGCAAGGGTGAAGTGAGTTCATCCTCACAAAATTCCTACAACACTGCAAGACTTGGCAAGTGTTGGCAAGTGCAGTTCTACCCAGTCTGTGGGACTTCAAAGCCCTCACCCCCAAGGACTCCAACTTCTCTCCGAAGCATCTTCCTACAAGTACAGCCAGACTAACGTTGCCTAAACCTGGGAGTAAGGACCCAGGAGTAAAACCCTGGGAGTCAGAAACTCAGGAAGCAGGAAGGATGTTAAGGCCCGGCCATTGTGATCAAAGGGCTAAAGGTGGAAAGGTAGAGACGAGGATGTGGAGAACAGGGTCGTTGGAACTGGAAGCTGACTTGAAAGCAACTTAGTCCAAGTAGTGCCCGTTCAGTTTGTTTCCCACATTGGACTTTCACAGCCATCTTCATTTGAAAACAGAATTGTGTTGCTAACAGTCGCCCCCACCATAAACCACTGAGCTAGACAGAGAAGGAAGCTAGGGAGCCTACAGCAACGGGAAGGGAACGTTTATGTGAGACCCAATCAAAAAGGGAAATGGCATGAAGTTCAGGCTGAAGCCAAAAGGAGCCACAATAGGGAAAAAAGGGGAACGAGTCACTTGTCTTTATTAACTCAGTCCTTCTCCTCCCAGGCTGACCGACTGAGACACCACCAGAGTGGAGTGGGCAGAATTTCCTGAGTACACAGACTCGTGACCTCACGCCTCATTGTCTTGTCAATACTACTTCCATGCCTGTGGGACTGAAGGTAAAAGGTGGCCCCTCCAAAGCTGGATGCCAGCCAGTGGTTGGCAGGGACAGAGAGCAGGCTCAGAAGTGACTCAGAGAAGCCATCTCAGACACGAGCCACACAGGGAAAGACCCATGGCAGCAAAACCACTGTGCTGTTCCCACTTCTCTTCCCCGGTAAGGTTAAAGATGAAAAGGCCACTCAAAGGCCAGTGCCATGGTTCAGCAACATCAGTTATTAAGCACAAGGTGTGATTCAAAAATGTGGTGAATGTTCAAATTTATAAAAATTTATTACACCCTTTTCCCATCATTCTTGCCACTTTCTGAAGCCGGACTAGAAGTTCTCTTTTGTGAGTGTCTTTTTAGTTGTGCTCACATGACTGCATCAGTGTCCTGAATCAATCAAAACACTTACCTTTCATGGTCATTTTGACTTTGGAAAAGAGCCAGAAGTCAGAGGGCCATATCCGGCAAATAAGGTGGAAGAGAACACACTAGCATGTTTCTACAAGCCTGCCTTGCTGCTGGATGGCACTAGGCAACAGCGTTCGCCATATTTTTGACCATACCTCATAAAGACACTCACCACAGAGGACTTCCAGATCTGCTTCAGAAAGTGGCAAGAATGATGGGACGAGTGTGTTCAAAGCAAGGGAGGATATTCTGAGGGGGATTAAAGGCAATATGTCATTTATAGGATTTAATTTAAATATTCATTGTATTTTGATCACCCCTTGTATATTTGACAAGTGGGGTCTGCCCTTCATTCCCCCAAGTATCTAGGTGCCTTTGCAGGATCCACTCAGAAGCCTCAAGACTCAGGAACAGCAGGGGGGCCTCCAAGACCCTGTGCCCAATCCTCACGGGGCAGTGCTCATCCCGCCCAGCTGCTCCATTCTCTGAAGATCCCTCACTTGCTCCTGTGACAGGACCTGGCTCTGGGTGCCAGCATCTTTTATAAAGTCACACATAGAAATGCCCCTTTCCTCCTCCAGCCCATCCCACTGGGACTCATCAGAGATGATGTCCCTGACTCTGGGGCAATGCTAACAATCCAACCTCTCCGGCTGTCTGCACCTTGGTGGGTGGCAGTTGGGACAGTGAGAAGCAAGACCACCAAGGGTCAGGTTCCATGGCCCTCGCTCCTCTGGGCAGTTTGTATAATGCATCATAGGGTCTCCAGTAGCCTTCCAGGCAGGCTTTTACAAGTACTTCGCAGATAAGGAGACTGATGCTCAGAGAAATTCAAAGGGAGGCCCCACAAATGTTAGGCAGTAGTACCCCGTGCCCACAGGGACAGGTACAAAGACGCATGGGAAGGAGGCAAAAATCCTCTGAAGCCTGGACCAGGCCCCAGCTTCCCCAGGCAGTTCCATACCAGACTGTGGGTCTGCCCTGGCCAGATCTGAACTTTCCAGAGAGGCTAGAAATCTGGAATTTTTGGTGCGATGTCCAGATTTCGAAACAACATTTAGACCAAGCCCAGCAGAGGTCAGCTCCATAGAGTTTCCAGTTGCCACTCCCTCTAATTACCTCCCTGCCTCCAAAAGCAAGTCTGTTTCTCAACCACAGCAGGCACGAGGTGCCAGCACAAGACCAGGCAGAGCCATCTGGGCCCACAAGACAGACCTCGCTTCATTCCTCTCAAATGAGGGTCCCCAGAAGACAACGTCTGCACTTACCTCATGATCTATTAGTGAGTCTCTACCTGAACAAGCCCAGGTCTGTGTAACCCACAACGCAGGAAGCCTGGGTTCAAATCCTAGCTCAGGCACTTGCTAGCTCGGTGACTCCCAGTGAATTATCCCACTTCCATGGGCCTCTCCTTCCTCACTTGTAAAACAGTGCCTGTCCTGTAGAGGTGTGGGGAGTCATACATGAGTTAGCATACACACAGCAGGGAGAGCCTGGCACACACTACACACTACACCAGTGACCTCATGGAATCTGCTCATACTATTCCCCTTGGCCGGGCTGTGGGCCAGAACCAGGCTCCTCTTCTTCCTTTCTGCCCTCAACTCTGCTGCCAGCTGTGCTACCTACTACAGTCAACAGACTCTGTGAGAGACAGAAAAAACGCTAAGGTGGATTTCCCTTGGGGCTCGAGCGGCCAACTGACTCAGAAGGAAGATGTTTCCCCTCAGACCCGTCAGAGATCAAGCATGATTCTTGGAACCTCCTCTTTCCTTGAAAAATCTCTGGGGCTTCCTTCACACTACCTCCTCCCACCCCAAGAGCAGAAGCAGGGTGGCTGGAGAAAGAAGGAAAATGTGTGTTTCCTGCCTCAGGCCAGCTGCAGATAACTCATCTCTGGCTTCCGGAAACCTCATCTTTGAGCATTTATTTCTCCATGGAAAAAGTCCTCTCAGGAAGTTTGAGGGCATGGAGTGAATAGAGGCAGACAATTCTATGCTTAGCTGCTCTTTCCCCCGCTTCCTGACTTAGGTATCATATTCTCTGAAATCTAATTAGGTGCCCATCCTCTGCACACCCTAATTCTGCCAGCACCCCGCTTAAACGATCACCCCACTTAACACTACCTACTCAGTTCTCTCTCTCACCCCTTGTAAGCACCTCAAGAGCAAGAACCATCTACCTCAATGGTTTCCCCAAAGCACAGACCAGGAATGAATGTGGCAGAGCACGGCATACTCACTCTACAAATGAGTAACAGAAGCAATGAGTCCTCCTTCCGCACACCCCCAGTCAAAAAGTGAAAGCCTGCTTAAGAATCTACTTGCAGAGGTTTTTACTAGAACCAGTAGACATAAATCTTGTCTTCTCCACACTTTTCTAGCTTTTCCCGGTCACACGAGTGAGTTGGAGAGGGGACTTCTGGAGAAGTGTATGTGCGATGTCACAGCCCTGGAGGGCACGGGAAAGCCAGACTGGCTTTCCTCTATGGAGACTGGCCCCACACCCAAGATGCAGCCACATCTGTGAAAACCACATCTGTGCCCCACGGAGAACGCCCAAGATCAGCCCAAGCTGGGGCAGACAGAAATTCAGGGAAGACAGGATTGTAGATTGTGATCACTATCAGTTTAGCCAGCACATGTCCATTCTGAAAGGTCTTGGCTTTGGGGATATAACATCATGCAAGCCTTCCTCCTAAGGCAGTTTCAATAGAAAATATTCTGATTTACTGTTTTCATAACAGATAGTGTGCCTTGCCTTTTATTTGGGGAAAACAGCCCACTACTGAGGTGTGACATTTCTGATGGATTTATTCTTAATGTGTGGAAACACTTGTCCCATATTCAATATTGTATTTTGAGAACATAACCATCCTCAGTTTAAAATTCTTCCTCATAGCTACCTCAACGCCTCTCTGCTAAAATGTTAGCTAGAGTTCATTTTCAATGGCATGTCTTAAAAGAAAGGGCCAAGCTGGCATGGTGGCACATGCCTATAATCGTAGCACTCTGGCAGGCTAAAGCAGAAGTATGCAAGTTCAAGTCTAGCTTAGGCAATTTAACCACTTATCAAGATTCTGTCTCAAAATAAACATTTAAAAAGGGCTGGGGATGGAACTCAGCATGAAGGCCCTGGGTTCAATAACCAGTACCACAAAGGAAAAATAAGAAAGAGGAGGAGGACGACGAAGTAGAGGAAGAGAAGGAGAAGGAGGAGGAGAAGAAGAGACCAATCTTTGTGTCTTTGCAGTGACTGCATCACCAGACCCAGTTCCATAAATCATCTGTGGTCTGGCATGCTTTGTATTGGCTCATATTTCCAAACAGTCTCATTTCCCAGGTTCACCTAACTTCACAGTTAGAAAGAGGGCCAGGGCTGACTGGCTGCATGGCCCAGGGAGGATGATTCAGGCTTTGACACCAGACTTAGATAATCCATCAAAAAGTTTATTACTGGTTGGCTTGAGTAAAATGCAGAACTGAGAGAGTCATTTCCCCTTGTTCTCGTCTCCACAGAAAGAGAAACAGCTGGCTCCCCTGGTAAGGACTCAGCCTTGCCCAAACTTCAATGCCACGCACACACTCTGAGGAGCATGTCCGACTCTCCAGTCAGAGTGAGCTCAGCTCCTCTGCTGAACCACTGGGGAAATCTCCATGAAGTACTATTCACAGGGCACGCCCTCACTTTGCTCTCCGCTGGCGCTGAATCCCTGATCACATCTTTATTCCTAGATATTCTCAATGATCAGAATGATCATTTCTTCAACATTTATTTTGCTCTGGATCCTATACTACAGACACATTAGCGTTATCTCTGTCCTCCCAACCACTACCAGGTCGGTGCCATTATTATCATTCTCACTTTATAAAACAAAAAGCAGATTGAAGAAATTGAAGCCATTTGCCCAAGGTCACGTCGTTAAACCAATCCTGAAGCCCAGGCTCTGAATCCAGAAGGTGCCCCCTTAACATTCTATGGAACCTAACAGATCTCTGCTAAACAGTAGGACTCTCACAATTGCCTGAGAAGTGAGCTTGGGACAACTTATCCTTCTCTCCCTCTACATCTTCTTTCTGACGTTCCCACCACCTCGGGCCCTCCACCCTGACACCTCGGCCCCAGCAAGTATATGGATCTATTCTGCGAGCAAGTCTTGCCAAAGGGAAAAGGAAAGGAAGTGTGCGTTAGCTATGGCAGAGAGTGGCATGTCCATTTCAGCATTTTAGATCCGGACAGGACAGCTGTGTTTATGTCCACAGAGGCGCCTGCAAATGTGGGAGCACATGTGGCCCAGCTTGTCCCATGCATTATGAGACATTTAGGTCACCTACATGCCAGGGACATGCTTCATGCCCCCAGCTGTGCTCTGGGTCTCTGCACTGAGGCGAAAGCCTGCCTCCACCCTAGCCACTCTGCCAAAGCAAACCAGAGGATGGAGGCACACTAACAATGGTGGCACCAGCTCTGGGTTCTGAAAGGCTCAGCACACATCTGAGCAGAGAGCTTCAAACCCTGACCATCAGAGGCTCGCACCACGGAAAGCCAAGAGGGCATCCAGTGGTGTCCCAACTGGAAAGGAGAGCAGAGGAGGGCTGCACCTTGGGGATGAACAGTGAGGGCACCATGAGAGATGGGCTCAGAGAGCCCTCGGGAAAGGAACAACAGCAGAAAGGTCAGGAGCCGTCAGCTTAACCATTCTCCCACCGTCAGACTTCTCCTGTTGACACTACAATAGAGGACAAAGAGAAGGACGCTGCCATGAACTGAACTGTGCACCCTCCATTCCTGTGTCGAAGCCCTAACTCCCAAGGTGAAGGTATTTGGAGGTGAGGCCTTTGGGAGCTAAGTAGGGGTAGATAAGGTCAAGAGGGTGGGGCCCTCAAAATGGATTAGTGTCCTTCTAAGAAGAGACGCCAGAGCACTCATTCTCTTCCCTTGGAGTGCACAAAGAGGAAGTCAGGTGAGCACAGTGAGATGGTGGCCACCACAAGGCAGGAAGTGAGCCCTCACCAGGAACCAAACTGGCCAGCACCTTGACCTTGGAATCTCCAGCCTCCGGAACACTGAAAAACAAATTTCTATTGTTTAAGTCACCCAGTCTATGGTATCTGTTATGGCAGTTGGAGCAGAATAACACAGGTGCCTAAGTCAGGCAGGAGTTCAAATCCTGACTCCATCCTTATAGCTGCCTGGCCTTGGGCAAGTGAAAAGATCTGCCCTTTTGCCTCATTTGTCAACTGCTCATGACAAAGGGTTTTGAAGGGACTAGATATGCTGGTGTTTCAGAGGTGCCTGAGCTATCTGGGACAAAACACTTCCACCAGCAATGCTTCTCCATGCATGCTATGGTAGCCAGCAGCTTGCTGGCCACATTCGGGTCACAGATGTGTTTTCTTTGGCCTCAGGAAATTTGGATTATTTACTAACTTTTAAAAGTCAAGAAATTTCACATAAAAAAATCTCAGTGTCCAGTTCTTCTTGAGAAATAAGATGGGCCGTCATAGGACCTGGGTGATCGTAGCATCATGTACTCTAAAAGAAGGACAAGAGCCCTTCTCCCTGCAGCCAGGCTGGCTCCACCTGTTTGGCACCACAAGGCTTCTCGGCCTGCAGCCCCTGGGTGAGTGTGGCTGCCGAAATCTGGCTTAGTCTTGTACTTTTCCTAGCTACCCACAAACAGAGCCTTTAAGTACAATTTCAGGATCCAGTCTCCCAAAGTGAGGAACAATTAGCACATTCCTGAGTCACTCTTTTATTTATTTATACTTCTATGGGAGTTAAAGAATCTCATAGAAAAGTCAGGGTCTCAGTTCTTTGGGAAAATTGAGCTCTTGCCCTTTGGGGGTTGTGACCCAGCTTTGCCCCTGTGACTCACCATCTTGAGACCTCAGTTTCCTCCCTTGTAAAAATCAGTCCCTGTGCTGGATGAACTATCTCTTTCGTCTCCTTCCATATTTATGTAATTATGATGTGAAACTCAAGCACACAGGTAGAAGTTTAACACAATTCTATTTACTTATGAGCTCCGGAGGCTTTAATACAAGCAGAGCTCTTAAAACACCCCAGTGACCTTACCACAAGCCTTAACTCAGTGTAAACAGGACCTGAATAATAGCCTTGTTTATTGTTCTGCCCACTTTGGGGTTGGGTCTTTAGCCTTGATGTTTTACACTTTACATTCCCAGAGACCAGGGAATACTGGGGCATTAAAAGGCCTGCTGGTTCAACTTCCTATCCCTAGCAGACTCTGGTGCTCTCCCTGCCTAACTCTGCTTTCATTTCACCAAGACACAAATTTAACCACATTAACAACTGCTAGTGCTCTACCACATGGACTGTCTTTCAGTTCCTTATTCACTGCAACCATAGGACCTTTGCAGCTGCAGGCAGGCTCCATCACCTACTGCCCTCTTTTTTGTTTTGTTTGTTGATGTTGTTGTTTTAAACAGAACATATTTATAATACATATAACCTATGACTAGAATATATAAAGAACTCTTACAGCTCAATAATAGACAACCCAATTGAAAAGTAGACGCAAGGGGCCAGGGATTTAGCTCAGTGGTTCTGCCACCTGCCTCGCAAGCACAAGGACCTGAGTTCAACCCCCGGTACCAAAAAATAAAAAAAAGTAGACACAAGAAGATGATAAATAGCCAGTACAGCACAAGGAAATGTATACAACACTAGAAGCAGAAAAATACTAATCAGTACAATAAGAAGATCATATTATACACTTATTAGGGAGATTAAGTTAAAAGTTTTAAAAGAACAAATGTCAGCTTAGGTGTGAACCAGTTAGAACTTTCTATTACTGCAAATGTGAATGTAAAATGATAAAACCATTTTGGAAAATAATATAGAAATTTCTTGTATTACTCTTAAGAACCAACAGTTCTGTTCTTAAGTTTTTACTTAAGAGGAATGAAAACACATGTTCCCAATAGATTTGTACATACAAGTTGACTATCCCTTATCTGAAATTCTTGGGACCAGCAGTGTTTCCGATTTTGGTTTGAAATCCACTTGATCTGCAAAGAGGATGGCTCCAAAGATCTCCAAAAAGGATAGCTTTTTTCGGGTTCCTGTCACATGGAGTATTGTTTTCCACCCTTTAACTTTCAGTCTATGAGTTTCTTTTTGAATGAAGTGTGTTTCTTGTATGCAGCATATTGTTGGATCTTGCTTCTTGACCCATTCTGCCAGTCTATTTCTTTTGATTGGTGAATTGAGACCATCAACATTGATGGTTATAACTGATACATATTGACTTATCATTGTTGTTGGTTTTTTTGCAGTACTGGGATCAAACTCAGGACCTTGTGCTTGCAAGGCAGACACAGTGCCACCGAGCTAAATCCCTGGCCCACCTACTGCCCTCTTAACCTAGTGAATTCCCACTGTTCCTGGCCTCTTTGGCAAGACCAAATCACACCACCACACTTTCATCACATCAGCTGTGCTGCAACATCTGTCCCAGTTGCACGCCTACATTTTATATGTGTGATTAGTTGACTAATGATTATCTACCCAACTGAATACGAATTCCAAGAGAGCAGGGCCCACATCTGTCTTTGCTCCTCTTATCGCACCAGCATCTGGCCAGTGGGGAGGTACTCAAATATTTCTGGGTAAGTCCCTTATTAAAAGGAAGAACAGCAATGAATCTCAAGCTTCAGCTTCTAACCACTAAGTCATACTGCCTAATATGATGCCCAGGGGTTAATCACAGCACAATACACATTTACAGAATAAGTGATAGATACTATCTCTGCATCTCCTTCCTCACCCCCCAGAACACACTCTGAAAATGAACAAATCTATGGACTCTCTGGATCAGATAAAGGACTCAGAACACAACAGCCATAAGAGCAACATCATAGCTGACAGAAGCAATGAGAATCAAGAAGGAAAAAAAAGTCTCCAAAACTGAAGATAAGGCTCCAGGTGAGCTGGTCCCTCACGCCAGCTTGGGTCCTCATGGGAGATGGTGCTGGTCTGGCCTCCACATACCTGATGTTTTCATTCAGTGCATAGAGCTCGTTGTTTTGCAAGCCGCCCCCTTTGAAAACATTGATCACAGCAGTCTGGACACTGCAGGGAAATAAAAGTAACCCGATTAGACAGTCTGCCTGCTGGGGCAATTTCCACAAACATCTCCAGGCTGAGTCACAAAGGGCCAGGAAGCCAGGAAACCCATGGTGCAAACATGGCTGCACTTCCTTTCACTGGAATTCATCATTTCCTCCCAGGTGTCCCTGGAGAGGAAGGAAGGCTCAAGCTGAAAGCACTCAGAAGGAGCCCCCACATTCTTGTAGGCCACCCAGGGCTTCTTCCCTGGCCTTGCTGGCAGCCCTGAGGTGAGCAGCAGCAGTGAATGGCCAGCAGTGGGCTCAGCTCTCAGTAAGCTGCAGGGCCAGCACCCTGGGCTCGGGGGCATCCAAAACAGCATTGACTGTGAGCAAGCAACAGCCATAGCTGGGGTGCATTCAGCTAGGAGGCCACTATCCTCTCAGGGCAGCCCGGTGGCTCGGGGCCCACAGGAAAGGATCATTCCTGATCTTTCTTTTCTTGAATGTTTTTGTACTTGAGAATTCAACCTTTTATTTGTCAAAAGTCTTACCTAGATTATTTGCACTGGTGCCTACTTTTTTTTTTAATTAATGAACATTTTGGCAGATTCATACCTGTACATAACACATTTTGAGCATTTTCACCCCCATCACCCACACTGTCCCACCTACCCCCCAGGATCACATTTTGGAAGGGGGTAGGCGTTCCATGTGTACATTTTGTTCATCTCATCCTTGTGTTTCTTTTTTTTTTTTTTTTTTTGGTACTAGGGATTGAACTCAGGAGGCTGAGGAACCACAGAGCTAAATCCCCGGCCCGTTGATTCTTTTTTAAAATTAATTTTATTGGTACACTTTTGATATACATAATGATTGTCCTTGCTATTCTCCTAGTACTTTCCTTGGAGACACAGCCTCCTTGACCCCTTCTTTTCCCACCCGTTCCTCAAGGGGTCACAGTTAGGGTTTAACTCCCCACTGTCAGGGACCCCACCCCAATATGACAGCAAAACCAGCTGATTATAATCACGTCTAGGCCAAAGATTCCAGGCCTTTTTTAAAGAACAAGGATCCACTTTGCACCCAAACATTTCAGTGCTCCTCTGCCTCCCCAACGGCAGTCGTGTTTTTCTTTAAGCATTCATTAAAAACAACAACAACAACAACAACAAAAAAAACTATCAGAACCCAAACTACAAAGAATTCAGCAGTGCTTTAAAAGATGATGCATTTAACTTATCCATCGAGAACCTACACGGGTTTGAAACCTAGTAGCCCATAGAAACCTAAGACAGTACTGATTCGGACTGCTCTGTGCTCCATGGGCAGATGCACAGACACCCCCTAAAAGCTCTGTCTCCTCTCTTCCAAGCGCCTGTGGCTCCCAGGCACTGAGAAACTCTGGCTAATGCCACTCATTTGGCTTTTCACAGATACCCATCTAATCTCCCCAGATGGGCACAAGGTTACTGGAGGTCACTCTCAGATACTCAGGCGATCTGAGGTGTGACTAAGGAGCAGGGACAGTAACTGTAAATCCCAATCGAACCATCCTGGGCTGGTTAACTGACTCTGCTCTGCCAGGGCTCACAGTGGTTTCCCTTCTCACTGTACTAAAACAAGGAAAGCTAATGGCCATGGGGGTGTACACCTGTAACCCCAGCATTTAGGAGCCTGAGTCAGGAGGGTGGCAAATCGAGGTCAGCCTGGGCTAGAACTTATCTGAAGAAGGAAGGAAGGAAGCAAGAAAAGAAGGAAGCGGGGTGGGAGGAGAAAGGGGAAAAGAAAGGAGAAGAGAGGGAAGGAAAGGAAGGGAGAGGGGAGGAGACAGGGGGAGGGGGAGGGGAGGGAAACACTTATCCTCTTCATCTTTTGTCCCTGTCAACAGGACTCTCCAGAGCTGAGGTCCCAGAAACAGCATAAGCTCAGCCAGCACCCCCGTGTCCCCGGCCCTGCCCAGGCCTGGCATCTCTCCAGTCCACCCCTAGCTCCTTACCTGTTCCAGGCCGAGTTGGAGCTCAGCTGCAGAGCCTGCCGGGTGGCTTGGAACCGGGACAGGTCGCTGAGCACTGGGGAGCTCATGAAGCGCCGCCTTGGCCTACCGAAGGAGCCCATCTTGTGGAACTCAGTGAGCAGGACTGGAGCGAGGCCTCGGGTCATAAGTCCAGGCAAGGGGTCAGCTTTGCCTTTATAGGACCAGAAGTTTCCAGCTGTCTACAGGAAGAGGCTTCCTCCAGGGCTGCCTCCTGGCCCTTGGGAGTTTTGAAAACCACACTCAGGCAACACCTGAAGACAGAAGGAAGATTTTATTTAGAACTCCTAGGCTGAGCGGATCACGTCTTAAGGGCAGCTGGCTGGGGCCCTCCATCCAAACCATCTTGAAACAACTGGGAGGCCAGCAAGAACCTGGAGTCCCCCGGCGTTCCCATTCCCAGGACGGCGTGGGCACAACAGAGTGGGGAGCAGTAAAGACAGAAGCAGATGGTGTCCGGTCCCCCAGAACAGCAGCCCCTACTCTGTGCTTGGCTCTGCTCCCCACACGTCCGTCGGTTTGGACACTGCCAGAGTTTCTGCAGACCCCATGGCGTTGTGCATTAAGAGACACTCTGTAGACAATGCCAGGGAGAACCTAGGAGCTGCGGTCCTGGCACTAATGTATCCTGCCAGTCCACGGTCCATATGCATTGCTTGGTATTTCCCAAAGAGCTGAGGCAGGAGATCAGGGTGGGGAAGTAGGTGGCACCTGTTGATTACAAAGTCCCAGGACCCAGGCACAGTTCCCAAAGCCCTGCATGTGGATTCTCAGGAGAACACCAGCGGTTTTGGATAGGACGGCCTAGGCCTGACAGCCTGAGTCGTGGGAGATACAAAGACAGTCGCGGGTCTGGTGTCTGCCCCACACGTGAAGCCCCCCCCCCGCCCCCGGGGCCTCCTGGCCTGAAGTCCGGGCCTCTCGCGCCGCGTGGGTCCGAGTGGGCGCCGGGCACTTGCGGAGCCCGTCCTGGGTCAGGAGTTCTGCTGGCTGCCTGCCTGGCCGGCCGCACCCCTACGCCACATCTCGGAGCTGGCCGCCAGGGTGTAGAATTGAGCTGCTCTGTCCCGAGCAGGCAGCATTTATTTTACGATCTGCTGAGCTCCAAGTTCTGTGGGTACCGCGGGGACAGAGCAGCCTTCGCCCCGACGGATTTTATTGTCTGAGTTGGGGCTCCAAAAAGTAAACAGTGATCTTCATAGAGTGCTCGGGATCCTAATGATGCAGCACAACAGGAAGCAAAGCACAGGGAAGCAGAAAGGAGAAACAGTATCTTAGCGCGAGTTCTGGGTCAATCAGCCCGGGCCAGGTTAAGTAACTTAGCACTTGTAAAGCCTGAAAAAAACGAAAGCAGTAGCGAATTACCTTATACAGATGGCGAAGTATGGACAGCGAAGTGGGAAGGTCTCAGAACAAGGTTTAATCGAAATCCTTGAAAAAGTAAGCCAACAAACAAAAGAAAACAACAGTTAAATTCAACAGAAAAAAGTAATGTACTCTGATGAATATGATGATTACTGAACTAAAAATGTTTAGAGACTGACACTTAATGGAACAATTTTAGGGCAGAAGTCAAAATCTCTTTAAATGTTTACTTTGTTTTGTCTATATGCCTTTAAAAAAATGAACTTGTTATGCAAAATAAAGTTGTTTTAGTATCACAAAAACAAAAAAAAAACCCAAAAAATCCAAAAAGACAGTCGCCACTGAGCTCTCCGCTACTGTGCTCTCTCTTCCACAGGAGTCCGCTGTCAGGCTGCAGAGTGTGCTTATTTTCCTTTTACTTGGCCGGAAATCACTCTGCAGAACATGTTTCATTTCCTACCTTTAATAAATGCCCAACCTCCCTACCTCCCTACCTTCTGTTCTTGTCTTGACTAATTCTTTAAGACTGAAAGAACCTAGAAACTACCTCTAGAAGGAGACTCCAGCACCCTAAAACCCGATAACAGTACCAGGACTTCTTCTCTCAGGTACATCTTACCACTCTGCATCTGCCATCATTGGCAGTACTGAGAACTAAACCCAGTGGCCTTTGCACTGAGCTACATTCCCAGCCTGTTCATTCATTTATTCAGGCATTCATTTAATGTGGAGACATTTCTCGCTAAGTCACTAAGTTGCCTAGACTGGACTCAAACTTGAGATCCTCCTGCTTCAGCCTCCCAATGTGCTGCAATTACAGGTGTGTGCCACCACACCCAGCTGTGAGTTGAATATTTATTCATCACTAGAAAACATGGACCAGCTGAAGATTTTTAAGACCTAGTCCCTGCCCTCCAGACTCATAGTCTGCAGGAAAGGTAATTATTAGTGTATTCATTCAAGCAATAAATATTTCCTGAGCACTTACATGTACCAGGCACTGGGAGATGTACTGATGTGCCTGGCCGATGGACCTTACAAACAGAAGGCACTGCTGATGTGATGGTCATGTCAATCAATGCCTTCCAACACTTTTGCTCCTACCGCTCCCCTTATCCCTTCCTTTTGCTGCCTACTTATCTAAATCCATCTCACCCTTTAGAGCTGGAGTTACGAATTCTGTACTGTCCTGTGTAGCAGGTCATAAGACCATGGCTTTGTAGCTAAAGGTAGTGGCTTGGGAATGAATCTGGGTTCAAGTTGGAACTTGGCCACTCCAACTTGAGTGACTTCGGACACACTGAGTCTAAGGTCCCCAGGTACTAACAGTGCCACAAGCCTGGGCGACAGGAACTGAGATCAGGTGACATGCCTGGCAGAGGTACACACCCAAAGCCCTCTGGGCAAGACTGTTTCCTTTCAGACCATCTCCTCTCAGCACCTTTGGATCTATAATTTCAGTCTCACTGTTTAGTGAATCCAAAGTCTAAAAATCCAGACTTAAAATGAGTCCAGACCTCGTCAGAGGGAGGGACAACAGGAAACACTCCGCGTTTGACCTGTGGTCATTTTTTCTTGAGGGTTTAATAGGTTTAGCCCAGAAGTATTCTCACGGAGGACTCCCTCACCAGCTGTCTCTGCTATGTCTCAGAAGCCAATGACAAAAGAAAAAGATGCCAGCTGTAAGCGTCAAGATGGCAGGGCAGACAGTTTTACAGCTCCAGCTGTGTGAAGAAAGACAGTGGAGATGACAGCTCCAAATCAAGTGAACTGCTGTGGTCAGAACAGCAGTGAGATCGGTGGAGGAGGCGTCAAGCCATCCACCAAGAGGCACCCACGAAGGAGGCGCTAAGTCCGTAGGGGCGGCACGGTGACAGTGGACTTGTAATACTGATGGCCAAAGAAGCAAGGGCTTGTCCCACCGCTTCACTTTTTTTATATAAAGGAAAGCAGATTTAGGTACCATTTTCTCATACAGCCTTTGCCCCTACACCCCAGGCTCGGAATGAGTAATTACTAAATTTATCAGTCAATGCTGGGGAAGTCATCCTGGGCCTGTTAGGCTTCAGAGAAAGTCTATCTCCGTCCGTCACTTCCCAGGTGCTGTGGAATTTAGAAAGAACCCTGTGAATGAGGTGAAGAAGAAATGAAAAGCCAGATGTCCCTACAGCACCTTTATGCTGGCTGGTGCGGGAGTGTCACTTTCCAGTAAAGGTCCGGCTGTTCAGGCAGGATCCACTGCACTGCCCTCCTTTAAGTGGGCCTGTGAAGCACGCCTCAACTGTGTAATCACAGGATATTAACTCCCTCAGGAGGATCTTCAACTTGGGGTAGTGGCACTGCCTCCCATCCCATGGTGCCGGGACAGGGAAGGAAAGGGAACAGAATGGACTATTCACTGTCACTGTCCTGCTCAAACAGGGTGTAAGACTCGGGGGACCTCAGGCGGCTCCTGTCCCCTCCATGTCTCAGCTTGCACTCCCCGAGTCTCAGGCTCTGTGCCATCTCAATGTCCAGCAAAGCACCAGCCTCCCCATCCACATCACAGCTGCTCTCAAACAAGGCTCCTGGGCAGCCAAAGGATGCAGACCGCAGCTCCCAAGCCCAGCATGGGGTCACACTCACAGCAAGGAGCTTCCTCTGATTCATTTTCCATCTCCGAAACTCTGCCCCTCTCAGATCCTGCTAGGCTGTCCTCACGGTTCCTGCTTGGGGCCAGAGCCAAGAGGCTGCCCCAGAGCACCACGAGAGGAAGTCACTGGGAAGCTGGCAAGAGGAGCGGAAAAAAAAAGGCCAACATTGCACCTACCTGCTACAGAGCTAGCTAGCCGCCTTGGGCACAGGCTTGTCCTGACCTAAATTTGGCAAATTAGAGATGCCAAGGCAGACGAGGTTTTGTCCACGATGTCCAGAAAGGGGCAGGGTCACGACTGGCTAGGACTCAGGATCCTTGATGCCTCATCTAGAAAATCCCCCAGCCCCAGGAGGCCACTCTATTCATCTCTAGCTTCAGTTCTAAGCTCACTGCTTGAGACAAAGATGAAGGAAAAGATGAAAATTAACAAGGCACCGGCTGCCTGCCTGGCACTGTCAATACAGGAAGAACCTCCTCAACCCTCACAAATGTCATTTGGAGAGCAGATAAGCTAAGTGACAGTGATGTGTTCAAGGTCACACAGCTAATAAATGGCAAGTCATTAACTGGTACCATGATCAGCCCCATTCCCCGACCCCTTCCCACTTTGCTATGCCACCAAACTCAACCATAAAGGAGATCAACACTACTGAGTCAGTCAGGAGCATCCATCTTGAGATTTCATATGGAAATCGAAACCTCAAGCCCCTCAGATAAATAAACTGTCCCTGGAGATAAAGAAACTCTGTGGGTATTTGATGGGGACAGGAGGAGCAGTGAGAAGGCACAGGCTGCCTTGGTTGGAGCTGTGAGACCTTGAGCAGGTTATTTGACCTCAGAGGCCTGATTTTTCTTCCCCAGGAAAGGAATTGTGATGACCTCAGGGTTGCGGGAGGGCTACGTGAGTCAATATTTGGGAATCGCTTAGAACCGTACCTGGCAAATAGCAAATGCTGCATAAGCACTGGCTAAGTAAATAAAATAACACTGTTGTTGCTTCTAAATCATCAAGCCATGACCACAACCCTTCCCGCTGCTTCTGGTGACCTCACAGCATCTGAAAAGACTTCGCCAGGAACAGGCCAGGCCTCCACACCGCCCTGCGGTGGTGCATCCGCATGTCCTGCCTCTTCCAACCTCTGATAACTCGGGGCTTATTTACTGACCTCTTTCATCTCTGTAGTGTTCCTAAGTTCCACACATTGTGTGCTTCTAAATCTAACCCCAACTCCATCAGGCAGGCAGAGCTGGACCAGTCATGAATAAGGAAACTCAGGTCCTTGAAGGCGAGTTGAGGTGACGCAGCCAAAGCTGAGAGCTGAGGTCAGGGGCCCCGACCCAGTGGGCCAGGCTGCAACCCTAAGCCCAGCCGCTAGAACCTTTCGTCTTTTTTTCTTGTTTATTTCCAAATATTTCATTATAAAACACATTTGAAGAGCATATAGACACACACACATTTTAAACAATAGTAATAAACTACTATCAGCTTAAGAAATAAAATGCTACCCCAGCCACCCCACGTGTTCCTACCATTTGGATAATAGCATACGTGCATTTTCCTATTCTAAAAAATACAAGCTGGATGTGGCAGTACACACCTGTAATCCCAGCATGCTAGGAGGCCGAGGCAGGAAGGTAACAACTTCTAGCCTAGCCTGGGCAACTTAGCGACTTAGCAAGAGCCTGTCTCTAAATTTTAAAATATATATATTTTAAAGGCTGAGTGTGAAAGCCCTGGTTCAATTCCTAGTACCATAAAAAAGAAAAAAACAATTTACTTAAGTCTATAATACAAAGTGAAAGTGTTCCTTCTGGCCACTTAGTACCGAGATGCCGGATCAGGAACCTTCTGAGATGACAAGAATGTTCTATATCTCTACCATCTGGTGCCCCAGCCACTAGCTACTGTGGCTCCCAAACACTTGGAATGTGGCTAGTGCAACTGAAGAACTGAATTTTAATTTTATTTAATATTTAACAGCCACACAGATGGGATCACACAGTATTTTAGTAAAACTGGGCAATTTTTTCTTTCCTATTAATAACACATCATGGCTCTCTTCCCGTGTCACCACGTACGGATCTACTTTATTATTCTGAATGGCAGCTTTGGAGATATCATATTTATTTAGCCTGCCCCCTGTGGATGGATATTTAGTAAGCTTCCGGTTTTCTGTTACTGCAAAGTGAGTCTCGGGGACCGCATGACAGATTTCACAAGGTGTGTGTGTGCTCCGAAGTGGAACTGCTGTGTCAAAGGGCCCACGCTCACGCTGTGATGTCAGCCCCAACCTGAGCTGCAGCCAGAAACAGCACTGCAAGAAGGGGGTTGAGAGGTGCAATGTCCATGGCACTGAGGACAAGTAGCCACAGGCTGTTAACCAAGGCTTTGGAGTCAGAGGGAGGCTGACATGGAGGCTCACTTTGCCATTCACTTACTGTGGTCAGCTGGAAAAAAACGCCCTAAAAGATACCTGCTTGTTTTAATCCTAGAACTGTGCATGTTATGTTAAATGAGAAACGGTATGGTGAAGCGGAAGGTCTTGCAGGCAGACACTTATCCCAGGTTGTCCAGTGGGCTCATAGAGGCCATGGCTGCCCCTTCCTAAGTGGGATGCAGAGGACATTAGAGACAGAGAAAAAGGGGACACTCAGGAGAAGGTGATGTGAAGACAGAGACAAGAGTGCTGCAGCCACAAGCCAAGGAATGCCAGCAGCCGCTGGAAGCCGGAAGAGGAAAGAAAGAATCCTCATAGAGCTTCCAAAAGGACCACAGCCCTGACACACCTTGGTTCTAGACTTTGGGCCTCTGGAACTGTGAGAATAAATTTCTGTTGTTTCAAACCACAAAGGTCATGGTAATTTGTTAAAGCAGCCACTCAGTGCGTGCCTATGGGCTACTCTGAACTGCACTTTCTTTAACTGAAAAGTGGACACTGGAGTCAATGTGGAGAGTTGTTGGGAGGGCCAGAAAGACTGGCTGTAAGGAGCTAGCATGGTCCCTGGTACTCTCCAGGTGCCAGGGCACGTACAGTAGAGGTCAGGGCAAAAGCACCAGTGCCAGTCTGCTGTCACTACTTCCTGGAACCCTGCACTGCACAGGTGACTTGGGGTGGACATGAGGGTTGGATGATTTGAGAAAAGAACACAGTAAGTGCTTGATAAACGCTACCTATGGTTCATTTGTGTCACTGCCAACACCACCACCATGCAATTCGTCTGTCGGGGCCGATGTAACCAAGTACCACAGCCTAGGTGGCTTATACCACGGAAATGTATTTTTTCACAGTTCCTCAAGGTTGGAAATCCAAGATCAAGGTACCAGCAGGGTTGCTGTCTTCTGTTGTCCTTCTTCTTGGTTCACAAATGGCCACCTTCTCCCTGCGTCATCCTCTGGACACTAACACCTTTGATGTCCCCGCATGTGGCCTCTTCTTACACCAGTCGGATAGGAGTAGTGTCCACCCCTACGACCCTGTATTACCTCAGTCACCTCTTTAAAGGTTCCATCTTCAAACACAATCACATTCTAAGGTACTAGGGTTAAGGCTTCAAGGTATGAATTTTTTTGGGGGGGACACAATTCAGCCCATAACCACCACCACCACCACCATCATCATTATGATCATCACAAAAGTTCTAGGCCTCATGACTCTGAGTTCAAGAAAAGACAGTTCTGGTCAGTATTCTCTTCTGAATTCTGACCGCTCACACCATCCTTCAGGAGCGATTTAAATGACTAGGTTTTTGGTGCAGAAGGGTTTGCTTCAGTTCTGTGCACAGCCGAGGTCCTGGACCCACAGAGCGTGCTGAGAAGTCACAGGGTCACTGGGTCAGCTCCCTGCCTGGCCCTCAGACTCACCTCACACGGATTTCTCTGAAACCTCTGCACCCAGATCCAGGATGCGTTTTTCAGAGAAGAAGAATGCATTGTTGCTCTTCTTTCTCACAGCTTCAGGGGACAGGGCCTGGGGACAGGGTCACAGCTCCGTCTGCCGGATCCAGGGCAGAGGATAGTGCACTTAGTGGAAAATGCAAATGAATTCCACTGAGGCTCCAACCTTTGACTCTGAAAAGGGAAGTAGAATGATGGCACAAGGAGTTAAAATAAAGAAGTGGGTAGTTTCTAATGACCCTGAGGCTTCCAGGAAAAGCCATTCTGAGCGTAAAAAATCAAGTGAAAGAAACTGAACCACAGAGCTTAGTGTGACCTCCTGGAGCATGAGGAAGAGCCAGCTGGCCAGCTTCCAGAGGAGTGTGAGAGAGGGTCCAGTGCACAAGTACCCTGCTGGTGCCTCTGCAGCTGGAGAGCCCCTCACAGAGTGAAGGCCAGGGTCCTTCCACAGCATCAGGACAGGGACACCGACCCGCCACTTAACTGGACAGCTCCATTCTGTCTCTCACTGCAGCCAGAGTAGGCTTCTAGTGCCCACGAGGACAGTGAAGACACTGCGTACTGAACTCCAGAGGGAGAGCAGACACCTGCCTTGTATCACCTCCGTGTTTTCAAATGGACTTGGTGACCTGGAATGATAATAGAATGGAAAATGGCAGAGCGCACTGCCTTTGGGGAAAACATGTCTATGATGTGCATGCTCACGTTTCCTGGGGGGAAGCCGTACTTCATACTGCTGCAGGATCCTGCCTGTGTCTGAGCCTCACTGCTGCCAGGAGTGGGGTGTTGTTACTGTCCCCCAGTGATTGACTTGTATAAAGTCACATGGTTTATGAGACAGGGCGCTGGGACAAGAACCCAGCAATCCAAGGCCCACAACATTCACGTTCTCTGTCACTTGGGTATCTTCACAGACTCCCCACAGCCTTCAGAATAAATCTCCAAGCCCCATCCTCACACCCTCTCCTCTCTCTCTCCCCCTCATTGGCCTTTACATTATCTACCACTACCTACTCTTCTTTGCCCCAGGACCTTTACACATGCCGTGCTCTCTGCAG